TACATCCGCCTACAAAAACTGCATCTCTCTAGCTCCTTTATTATATCTCTTGCTCTGTCAGTTATATCCTCCACCTGTGCCCCTGAGTAGCATAACCTGATTCTTTTCTTCCTATTTACCCCACAGAATATTCTATCCACATGCCTTGTCAAAGAATCACCTATAACTATAACATCCACGTCCTTCTTTGAACCTTTTGTTTTCATTCCCTCCAATAGTTCCTCATCTGCAGAAGCCAAGGGCTGAAATTTGTTCTTTAACAGAATAGGATCATTATAAAATTCACTACTTTTTACTCTAGTGGTACTCTTTCTAGCTTCCTGAAAGTGATTGATAGCTGATGTACCCCTTGCTTGTAAAAGCTTAAGCTCCTCCTGAAATCCTACTGCTATTTCCCACAATCTACACTTCTCTATATCTATTGCCTCTACTTTAAGCATGATTGCTTCCAACTTCTCCTCCAACCTACAAACTCTACATAAAAATTGCACATCTTCATTACTAGCTTCCTTAAAAGTATATTCCAGTCTCGAGTTTCCAAAATAAATCCCACTCATTTCACGCATTACACCTAACAAACTGTGGACGCTTAACTCCTACACTAGTATTAATCTTATAAACTTTAGACAGTTATATAATCTAGGTAAAATAAAGTTACTGGGATTTAAACTTTGCTTTCATAAGGTGTTAGAGTCATACTACTCTTAATTTTTTTTAACTGATGGAAATGTTGTCAGCAGATGGCGTGAAATGTTTTAATATGTAAATTGGTGTTTTGATAACTGTATAAATAAGCGTTATTTTTTTCAAAATATTACACTCCCGAGGATGACGTAAGATATACGTTGAAACATCTAGAGCGCATGAGATTGTTTTCAAGTTACATCGGGGATTTTACCACTTTTTAATCTTGTACAGTAAATTATTATTTTAGTAATTTGAAGACTGGAAACAATATAATTTTATTGAATTGTATATAAAATAATCGTTGTTTTTAAATACATTTCTTTAGTTTTCAAAATTAAGCATTACACACGTGTCCCCCAAAAAAATTGAAAAAAAAGGTTATAGTATTGTTACGACAGCGGGGGTCACGTGACGCTAGTAACACGTCATATTCTCGAAGGTTCGTTAAGTCTCGAGCTTTTACTAGATATGCGGTAGTCTTGTATATATAAGCCGCCAAGAAGTGACGGCAACAGAGTGTAATTGAACTGCGGATAGAGAGAGACGTATTGTTGAGTCGAGCACGTGAGACGTTCGTTGTGAATTATAGCTTTTGTTATAGAAATTTACGGAAAATTAACTAACGAACGGAGACGTAACAGTATAAATCGGGCTGAATACATTTTATTATTAACGCTACGTATATTGGTCTAATAAATCATTAAGTTCTATATAATTAAAGGTAAAGTTTATAACTTTAGTGTGAAGACAAAGTAGTGATAAAAATAATAAAATGGTTCTTAAACGTTAGGTTTAACAGTATTAACAATAGGCCGTTAGTATATGCTCTTGAGTATTTATTTTCAGGCTATAAGTATAAATACAATGGTTGGTAATAATTTCAGACCTATTGTATCCAATATTAAGAGTTCAACTTATAATGTAGCAAAATTTATATCTAAAAAAATTTTCATTTTTAGGGGATAAAAGTAAATACACAGTTAAGTAATCGTTTGAATTTGTGGAAAGAATTGAGCATATAATTTTAGGTCAAAAAAATATTTTGGTGTCATTTGATGTTGTGTCGATGATCACCAAAGTACCTGTGAAAAAACTATTGAATGTTCTGAGAGAAAAAACGGAAAGAAAATAATAATTCAGTCTTAGAAATAATGGATATAATTAACCTGGTAGAAGTATGTGTTGAAAACTCATTTTTCCAAATTAATAGTAAAGTTTATAAACAGAATGAGGGTTTAACTATGTGTTCTCCTTTATCTCCGTTATTGTGTGATTTATTTATGACAGTTTTGAAAGTGAAGCACTAGAAAAAGCAGATAAAAACCTGAAGTTTGGATAAGGTATGTAGATGACACGTTTTTGATTTGGCGGTATGGTACAGATGAACTAGCTAATTTTGCTAATTACCTTAATAACATTGATAATTCTATAAGATTTAATTATGAAGTTGAGATCAATGGTAATGATGACAAAATCTTGTCGAAACGTTGTACATTTGCTGTTATGTTAAACTTATATTAAAGTTTTTCTTCATTACCCATTCAAGCCGTCTCCAATCATTATTAGTATCAAAGTGGGTTCCTCGTCATCGAATTTGTACTAAGCCTATTTTAACGTTTTAGTAATAATTTAAACCTCTAAACTCTAACTTAAAACTTTGACCGTTTTATTTACCAATCTTATTATATCTAGTTATTATTGTGTTATTTAACCCAAGTTAGTACAAATTATAATAATAATAATAAATAATTTTCTAAAATCTATAACTTGAGTATGAGAACTCAACTTCTCAACGTCCTCCCGCTTCAGTAGCTTATTGAGTTTTTACATCATGAATCGCCGGTAAAGTAACAACTCCAGATAAGCTTGAGCCGAGAATATTACGTCTCTTGTAGTTTTTGATTTATAAGACTAGAATATTAGTTTTGCATCATGAAAGTAGCCCAGTGTTTCTGTAGTTTTATAATATTATTTGTACTAACGAAGTGTAAATTAAGCCCAGTAACCTCAAAAGAGATAGGACTTGGATCTCGAGGAATCGTCTATAGTTTGCTTGAGAAGTTCATACGAACCTTAGTCGACCTATATATATATATATATATATCAGATTCTTTGTCTTAAAATCTGTATTTTTTTTTCTTTAACTACTTTAAC